CGCCTCCTCATCTTTCCGCCTCGGTTCTTTACGCCACCTTCCCCCCTTATTTACGGATACTGCATCTCCTCCCTGGAGTGTTGCTCAGCCTTATAGCTCTGGGCACCACTTCCTGGCCTCGGGACGGGGTTCCATTCTCTACCAGAAGATCCTCTACCAAGGACTGAAGAGCAACAAGCTTGCTCTGCTTCAGTTAGCTTTGATGGGCTTGGCCCTGAGTTTAGTAATTAGACAACTTGGGGAGGTTTTAGGTTTGCTAGTAGCTTTCTGAGCCCCTAAAAAAGCTCCCACAGGAGATGGAATACCTCTACATCCCTGGTAGTCCCCACAACTTTTGTACTATTAGGGTGTTTGAGAAGAAGGTTGGTGGAGGAAGTGTGACCTAGAGATAGAATTGGCCCGGAGAAGACCATCTCTGAGGGAGGGATTGGAATGGAAAACAAAAGCAGTGGATAGACAAATGAAACTGAAATGTCAGGATTTCTGGGCAGATAAGAATCCCGACTGAAGCAAAAGATCTCTGTTGGGAATGAGTAAGGTTTAAGATTGAAAGGACAAAATGAGGCCAGTTGACACAGAGCCTTGAATTCCAAAATCTGCTGTAGCTTGTATATTCTACAGCATGCTGGTTAGGATGTGCTGTAATTCCGTATGTATCCAATTACCAGAATCTTCTTGGAAATGATCGTAGAGTGGTATCTAATTGGAAGTTGAAGTCTGATTCTAACAGCAACAATATCAAGAAAGATTATAGAGTGACTGCAATCTGAGACCCAAGGAGGGAAAAATTCCAGGGTTTTTTGTTGGTTTGTTTTTTGCATTTCAAGTTACCTTTGTGTCCTTTCATTATTCAGAGAGTACTTAGTCTTTGAAGATAGATTTGAATAAATTGTTTTCTACGTCTAAATTCCTTGCCCTGAAATGGTGAATGATGTTGTAGATTGACTGGAATAGTGATTTCATGAGCAGAGTTGGGATTATGAACATTCATTCCCACACCATTTCCTCTAACTAACCGTGTGCTCAAGTCAGTTACCCTCAGGTTAAATGATCAGCTTGAAGTCAGTTATCATCATGAAAGTTCATTGAGTATACTCTGCCAGGTACTGGGGTGGATGGAAGTGGGTAGCTGGGAGGAGAGATAATGGAAAAAATATAAGATACTGTCCCTCTTTTTATGATGCCAAGGGCAGGGCTACCTAATGACATGGAATGATTAGCATTAAGAGAGAATTGAAACGCTAGTGGCTCATTATAGTTATACTCTTTGTACCACCTAATTATGGTGCAGGGATTATGGGTTTTTGAGTCTGCCAATCCTTTCGTCCTTGTGATATGGGCTTCCTTGAGGGTCTCAGGCTTCTTGTGGGAAAGAGACCTTATTTGATATGAGCTACAGCATGTGGTATGTTTCTCTTAATTTCTTTGTAAGGTAGAGGTTTGTGGGAAAAACACAGTGTAGTAGGCTGTGCTCGGCTGATGGGGGCCTTGGTGTTGATGCCATCTTTTTTTTTTTTCTGTTTCAGAACTTCTTGGTCCTGATGTCTGACCGTGGAGATGTGAGCCTCCCACCCGAAGACCGGGTGAGGGCTCTCTCCCAGATGGGTAGCGCAGTGGAGATAAACGAAGACATTCCACCCCGTCGGTACTTCCGCTCTGGAGTGGAGATTATCCGAATGGCATCTATTTACTCCGAGGAAGGCAACATTGAACATGCATTCATCCTCTATAACAAGTATATCACGTAAGACGCCTCCAGTTTCCTTTTTCTTTTCCGGTGACTGATGCCTCACTCATTCTGTCCTTGTGCTCGTTTATTTCAGCTTAGAATTGCTAAAACTAGAGAACTTTACAGCATCATTATCATTAATCATTTTTGCTAGCAGCTCCTACATATTGGCTGTCCTTGACATTCAAAGACATGAGTACTGAAAGTGTTGTTTTCATGACTCAGTAATTTCATGAGTAAGAGACCTAGCTCTTTGGCTTGTGCCCACATGGCCCAGCTGTTAGACAAGAGAGTTGGTGTTTAAACTATACATGTTTTGTATTGATGAATGTTTTTCACTGTCCTCTCTCTATTAAGACAGCCAATCAGAGAATTATTGTTGAGGTTTAACAGAGCCAAAATTCCTCACCTCTACTTATTTTGTAGCAAATTGAATGACTCAGGAAAAAGTTTTTTTCTTAACCTTTATCATAAGCATAAAAATCATCAAATAAATAGTGATCACCTACAGTTTATATAGCTCATCATAAGACCTTTCCCTTGAGTTGCTTAGCCTCTTGCAGCAGAAATTGAAGATTTCAGTTCAGTTAACAGGAACAATTGCTAAAGCCCCAGTGATATTGGAAAAGATGTCTAATTTAGGAAGGGAATAATGTTAAAGGGCCTCATTTATAATTTCTAGTTTTGTTCTTTCATGATACCAGGATCTTAAAATAATAATAATTACAGTGCATTTGTATGGCTCTTAAATAGTTTGTAAAGTATTTCACCTGCATTATTTCACTTGATCTTCACAGTTCTGCATACATTGAGTAAGGCACATCATCCTCCCATTCTGCGTATGAGGAAACACCCTCTGGGTTTAGTGGTAGGCTTTGTTCCACAGTTTGGAGTGACAAAGCCTGGATTTTCTTAACTCTTAATTCAGAATTCATTCTACAACATAGGTCCTGTTCTTTTTGTTTTCTTTTTGGTAATGTTTAATAAATTGAAGGTAGTCTTTTGAGATCATAGTCTTGAGCCACACTAATTTTTGGTTATTTTTTATTGTTTTTGAATAGGTAACATGTATGTGTAGTACAGAATTCAGAAGGCACAAAAGGGTGTATATTTAAAAACTAAATCTCCCTACCACTCCTCTTTTCCCCCAAACCTTTAGCTCCCCTCCCCAGAGACAATCACTCTTATTAGTTTCTTTTTTTTTTTTCTTTTGTGGTACGTGGGCCTCTCACCGTTGTGGCCTCTCCAGTTGCGGAGCACAGGCTCCGGACGCGCAGGCTCAGCGGCCATGGCTTACGGGCCCAGCCGCTCAGCGGCATGTGGGATCTTCCTGGACGGGGGCACAAACCCTTGTCCCCTGCATCAGCAGGTGGACTCTGAACCACTGTGCCACCAGGGAAGCCCCTTATTAGTTTCTTATATGTTCTTCCAGAGATGATGTGTGCTTATCAATTATATGATATTAAGTTTTTTTTTTTTTTTTTTTTTTTTTTTTTTTCCTTGCGTTATGCGGGCCTCTCACTGTTGTGGCCTCTCCCATTTGCGGAGCACAGGCTCCGGACGCGCAGGCTCAGCGGCCATGGCTCACGGGCCCAGCCGCTCCGCGGCATGTGGGACCCTCCCGAAACGGGGCACGAACCCGCGTCTCCTGCATTGGCAGGCGGACTCTCAAGCACTGCGCCACCAGGGAAGCCCGATATTAAGTTTTTGATCACATGCTACTCTAAAGCAGAGTCTGTCAGCTTTGGTGTTAATGACATTTGGGGTTGAATAATTCTTTGTTGTGGGGAGTGTTCTGTGCATTGTAGTGTGTTTAGCAGCATCTTTGGTCTCTCTGCTCGCTAGATACCAGTAGAACCCTTTACCCCCTAGTTGTGACAACCCAAAATGTCTCCAGACATAAACTAATGCTTTTTAAGAGGCAAAACTGACCCAGTTGAGAACCAGTCCTCTAAAGAAGAGTAGGTGTAAGAGTGGATTGCCTAGAATTCATATTGTAATTTTAGAATGGAGAAAAGGGACTGCTATTGTTTTCTTGTTAAGTTTAGAGATAGTGTCTGTTTCCTCAGAGATCTTGCATCCATCCATACCATAATGTCCTGTTATGTGGCCTCAATGCTGATAAAGTTTCGTAGAATTATAATTATATTTCTGCCTCTCTTTGCTTTTATGGTTTTTCATTCCTAGGCACCATGGGCACAAGATTTATTTTCCTGAGAAGTTTCTTGCTATTGTCCCACTCTTCATATACTCTGCTGCTGGTAGAATTAATATTCTTGTATACTTCCAGTATTCTTGTAGGTAGTTCTCTCAGAATGAGGGGCACAATTCTTTTGGGAAATCATAGTTGAGAAAGTTCAGTAGAATCATGGAATCACTCTACCAGGTATTTTCTGAAGGGCCCTCTGGGTCTTGTTGTCCCACGTAGAAAGTGCTTTGAGGGTGAGGACCATATTCATTCAAGAAATATATATTACTTACACCTGCTGTCTACTTGACACTGCAGTAAGTCCTGAATACGTAGTAAGTAAACTGGCCCCTGCCCTTATTCTACTTATGGGAGAAGACAGGTAAGCAAATAAATATACAGTTCACAAAATACGGAAATTGCTGTGGAAGCAACAGAGTGCTGGGACAGGGAATAACCAAGGTTATCTAATTAAATAGAGTAACATCTATCTGAGAAGGTAAGATTTAAACTGAGGCTTGAAGGATGCCATAGAGTTGGTCATTCCAAAAGCATAAAGCAGAGCATTTAAAACAGATACAGCTGTGTATTCAGAAGCTCTCAGGTAGGAAAGACCTTAGTGTGTTCTGAGGATTGAAAGATCATTGTGTTTGGAGTGTAGCAAGTGAAGAGGGAGAATGACCGCAGATGAAGTTGGAGAGGCAGGCGGGGCCAAATCACGCAGGATCTTATAGGCCACAGTGAGGAGTTTACATTTTATCTTGAGAGCAATAGAAAGCTATTGAAAAGTTTTAAGTGAGGTTGTGACCTAATCTTACTTATATTTTAAAAATTAAATTTTGGCTGCTATGTGGTAACTGGTAGAGGGAGTGTCAAGAAAGAGGCTGGTAGGTTGAAGGAACATGGTGGACTGGAAAGGAGCAGATGGATTTGGTATTCTGGAGATAGAGTCCATGGAACTTACTGATAATTTGGGAAAGAAGATGGTATCAAGATTGACCTCAGTTTCTGCCTTGAGTAACTTAGGATCTGCTGGTCCATTTATTGAGATGGGGAGAGTGGTGTTGAAAAGGGGTTGGGTAATGGGAAGATTCAAGAGTTCAGGCCTGGTTTTTTGATGTGTTAAGGTGTAAAGTTTAAGTTATCTGTGAGATATCCAAGTAGAGATGTCCAGTAGGAGGTTGGATGTAGCAGTCTGAACTCAGAGGAGAGGTCTGGGTTGGAGATACAAGCCCAGGAGTACTCAACATATAGTTGGTTCTGAAGCCATGAAAACTGCTGAGACCTTGTAGTGCAGTGGTTCTTAATCTGGGGTCCAGGAACCCACAGGGATTCATTGATAAAATTCAGGGTCCATGAACTTTGTCGGGAGAAACTTTTCTTGTTTTTACTAACCTCTAACTAAAATTTAGCACTTCCTTTAATTTTGAATATAGGCGTCAACCCACAGTATTATTAATATTTGTAGTTTTGTCACCAGTAGAAATCAAGATATTTTCATATTAAATTATGATTGTTACTGATATCTCAAAATAACATTTATACTTACCACTACTTCAGAATTACAGTACAGAGTTATTAAACCCACAACTACATCCTGTTTTTTAATGTATTAACAATGCATTAATAAGTAAGCACAGGGCTTCCCTGGTGGTGCAGTGGTTGAGAGTCCACCTGCCGATGCAGGGGACACGGGTTCGTGCCCCGGTCCGGGAAGATCCCACATGCCGCAGAGCGGCTGGACCAGTGAGCCATGGCCGCTGAGCCTGCGTGTCCGGAGCCTGTGCTCCGCAACGGGAGAGGCCACAACAGTGAGAGGCCCACGTACCAAAAAAAAAAAAGTAAAAAAAAAAATAAGTAAGCACATATCACAATTTTTTAATATTTTGAAAACTGCATTACAGTAGAACTGGGCTTTTTGTAATGTTTCATAATTTATATTATATCTTTAAAAAATGATTCTGAGAAGGGTCCATATGCTTCATTAGATGCCAGAAGGACCCATGGCGTATTAAAGTATCCAGAAACCTTTCCTCGAAGGAAGGTTTAAGAGGTAGGAGGAAATCTAGGAAATTCATCACTTTGTCATGGGAGCCAAAAGAGGTCAGTATTTGCAGGACAGTGGCCAGCTGTGTCAGATGGGCAAGATTTGGGTTTGATGTCATGACGTGATCAGTAATCTTGGTAAGCAATTTCACTGGAAGGATTAAAGATTGGAGTGGGTTGAAAGGTGAATGGACAGTAAGAGAGTAGAGACTGTGAGTATAGTCCAGAGATCAGAGAACTTTTTCTGTAAAAGGGCCAGATAGTAATTTTTTTTATCATCTTTATTGGAGTATAATTGCTTTACAATGTTGTGTTAGTTTCTGCTGTATAACAAGGTGAATCAGCTATACATATACATATATCCCCATATCCCCTCCCTCTTGCGTCTCCCTCCCATTCTCCTTATCCCACCCCTCTAGGTGGTCACAAAACACCGAGCTGATCTCCAACTGCTTCCCACTAGCTATCTGTTTTACATTTGGTAGTGTATATATGTCCGTGCCACTCTCTCACTTTGTCCCAGCTTACCCTTCCGCCTCCCCATGTCCTCAAGTCCATTCTTTACGTCTGCGTAGAGACTAACCCTTGGGACCAGAAAGTAGTGGTCTATTTAGTGCACACATCGCTGCCAGACACAGATGTCTGGATTCATGATTTTATGTCAGAGTATCTGGTGGAGCTTTCAAAAGTCAATTAATCACTGCTTCTGAGACCTTGACAACTGATTCAAATTTTTTTAGCAATAACAAAATGTAGTAGGCTTTAAAAAAAAAAATCTTAC